TTTATAGTGAAAATACGAAGAAAAAAAAGTTTTTATATTGATAATAAAGAAAACACATAATTATATTAAAAATTCAAAGAAAATAACAATAATAATAATAATAATAATAATAATAATAATAATCAAAATCAAAAATGTAGATTGTTTAAGTGGTATACAATATATATGATTTTTTTCAGATAGGAAACACAAGAAATCTTTGAGCCTAGTGGTAAACTTGAGGCATTGTGACTTTGAGGAGCTGGTTCGATTCTTGCTCCTCATTTTCACTATTTTCGAGTTTTTACTGATAAAAGATCTAAAGAACACAGTCAGAAAAGACACATAAGCAAATCTAGCCTAATGATCGTACATGTGGCTTGCAACCTGTACAGGTGACCGGTTTAACCTGTAAGAAAGGCAAAACCGAAAAAAAAATATTACAAGTTTGCGACGTAAACGAACCAAAATCTTGTCAAATGGTAAAACCGACATTTTCAGCCAAACTTGAAGTTTATTATGACATTATTCCTTGTTTAATTAAATAAGTCAACACAAAAATGATCAAACATGACCAATTTTCACCCATAGAGAAGGAAGTGTACATCTAGTAACGATAGGGGGCGGGGTGGGAGGTGTGTGCCCTTTGGATTTTTAATAGACAAAAACATTATAAAATATAAAAATGTAAAAATGATATATATATATATATATATATATATATATATATATATATATTAGACAAAACATTATAAAATATAAAGATGTAAAAATGATATATATATATATATATATATATATATATATATATATATATATATATATATATAGAGAGAGAGAGAGAAGTTTGACACGGACCAAATCTATAAAAAAAGAAACTAGTTTAAAATGATAAATCTGCAAACCAAAGATGAAAGAATACTCAAACAAAAGGGGACTAATTTTTTTGGGATTTTCTAACATATGCCCTAAGGGCACATGTAAGAAATTTTAATTATGGTAAATATAAGACATGGTAAATATTAGATGTCTATTATTATTGGAATCAAGATTTCATATTAATTAACTTCCTACTTCGTTTTTTTTTTTTCCAAATTTTCACTTTTATTATTTCCCTATAATTTTCCCTACTAAAATGTATGAGTAGCACAGTTCCCTCTTAAATTTCCCTCCATTTCATGATTTATATATTAATATTTTTGGAATGCTTTTTTTTGGTGATGATACCGTCACTTTTATCAAATAACCAGGAGGATTAACAAAGCATTTGGCAAGCATTACATATGAAAGAACCTATTTTTTTGGATCTGAATGAGGTTCATGTTGAAGAAAATTCGATAGATGCTCATAATGAAAAAACTGTTATCGAAGAAGAACAGGGTCAAAACAACAACGCAAGTTTTTATGAACCGTTCGTTGGTCAATGTTTTCTAAGTGAAGAAGAGGCTCTTATTTTTTATCAAAATTATGCGAGAAATAATGGGTTTTCGGTTCGAAAAGGAAGATTCGTGAACAGTAAAACGGGAGAAAAGAAAAGACGTGACTTTTTTTGTCACCGTGAAGGAAAGCTGGAGTTTAAAAAAGATTTCACGAAAAAAACAAGAAACCGAGGTTATACAAGATGTGAATGCAAGGCCCACATGCGAATAACATTGAGAAGAATTAATGAAATTTTCTCTGAAGAGTGGCAAGTCACCAAGTTTGTTGCGGAGCATAATCATATTGTGTTGTCTACTCAAGAGGTTCGATTTTTACCATTTTACCGTAATATTACATTAGAGAATGAAAAACGTATACTTTTATTAAAAGAAGGGGGTTTGTCTGTTACACAAATTATGAGGGTGATGGAGCTTGAAATGAATGTGAAACATGGAGAATTTTCTTTTCTTAAGAAGGATGTCTATAACCTTTTTACCAAAAATCATAAACTACACTCACAGAATGATGCAAGAGAGTTTTTGGAGTATTGTAAAAGTGCTAAAAGTGAAAATCTTAATTTTCAATATGCATTTACACTAGATATTGAAAATAGGCTAGAACATATTTTTTGGTGTGATGCTCATTGTTTTGAATTGTACCAAAAATACGGAGATGTTGTGGTATTTGATACTACATACAAGGTGAATTCATACGACATGCCATTTGGCATATTTGTTGGTATTAACAATCATGGAAGAACTATATTACTTGGTTGTGCACTTCTACGTAACGAGAAACTAAACACGTTTGAATGGCTCTTTAAGGTAACTATATTTTTGTTTTATTTTTTTTTAACTTAATTGCATTAGTATGTAAAAAGTTTCTTAAAATTATTTTATTTTCAGAATTTTGTGCAATTGATGAAAAAGTCACCGAAAACGATATTGACCGATCAAGATCCTTGGATGAAACAAGCAATTGAAACGAAGATGCCTTACACTAAACATGCATTTTGCATATGGCATATCACCACTAAGTTTAGTAGTTGGTTTACTTCGGTCCTAAAAGCTGAGTACTCAAGTTGGTGCACCGAATTTTACAACTTATATAAGTTAGACTCAGTTGAAGAATTTGAGCAACAATGGCCATTAGTCATTGCAAAATACAATCTCGAAAAGAATAAACATGTGATAACATTGTACCAAATTAAAACATTTTGGGTTCCAAGTTATCTTCGTGGCTTTTCTTTGGTGGCATGACGACCACCGGAAGATCGGATAGCATAAATTCGTTTATGAAAAAGTTTATATCTTCTCATACATGTCTAAGGGAGTTTATTAGACAAGTGGGTACTGGTATTTAGTTTACTACATTTTTTTTAGTTTAAACTTTTTTTATTAATCTTTTTACTCATAATTGTATAGGTTGATCTTGCTATTGAAGATGTTGGGCATAAACAAATGCATGATGGTATGTTGGCAAAATATCAAGAGTCGCATTTTAGATCATTATCACCGTTAGAAAAATAAGGTTACCAAGTTTTGACTCCTTTTGCATTCAAAAAGTTTCAAGAACAATTTGCTCAAGCAATTCAATATTCGGTTCGGGAAGAAAACGACACAAGTTTTATTGTCAAACATTACAAAGCGGCTCGATGTCATCAGGTGGTTTGGGATGGTAAGATGGCTAAATGCACTTGCAAAAACTTTGAATTTGTCGGGATACTTTGTCGTCATATCTTAAGCGTTTTTCTCCGTAAGGACTGCTTTGAAATTCCTTCTAGTTATTGGCTATCACGGTGGAGTCGTGAAGAAGCTCAATTTACAGAAATCTCTCTATTACAGCAAGAAGGAAATTTTGATGTTTCATCATCTTGTGGAAACAATAGTCATCTCGTAACTAATGCAATTGAGTTGGTTCAATGCCCTATCATCTCAAAAACAAAATGACGACCTAAGCAAAAACGAATGAGAAGTGGAAAGGAATTAGCGAGACAAGTAAAGCGTTGTAGACTTTGCAAATCTTCTAGTCATAACTTCAGCACATGTCCAGAGCGTGAGGATAATAATTCTCAACAAGTGGATAAAACAAAGAAACTTGATATGCAAATAGAAGATTTCAATCTCATCTTTCATTTTAAATGTTAAAGTGTGAAATTACTATTAAACTCTATTTTTTGTTTTCATTATTAGTTTCAATTCTCATCTTTTATTTTAAATAAATAAAAATGCTTGTCAAATGCTTAGTAAATGTTCCTGGGCGTTATGATAAAAATTGGTGAATATATGATGTAAAAAAAAGAAATCCAAAAAAGCAATATATAAATCATGGAATGGAGGAAATTTTTAGAGGGTACTAAAAATCTAGAATATAGTATCATTTCCTACGTATTAGTAGGGAAGATTAAAAGAAAATAATAAAAGTATAAATTTGGAAAAAAAAAAATAGGAAACTAATGAATGTCAAATCGTGGTTGAAACAATAATATTTAGATATGTCTAATATTTGCCATAATTAAAATTTCTTATATGTGCCCTTAGGGCACATGTTAGAAAATCCCATTTTTTTTATCAAATGACATTTGGCCTAAAGATATAACATGTGTACCAATATGAAACCAAAGATCAAAAAATACTCGAACAAAAGGGGACTATTTTTTTTTATCAAATGACATTTGTCCTAAAGATATAACATGTGTACCAGTATACCCTATAACCAAAGGTTGAGGATATGCAAATCTCCTTGTATATAATATATATTTAAAAATATGATAATGGATGTGTGAATAGACATTCAAAAACAAAGAAGACTTTGTTTAATTGTTTCAATTTTCTCTAGGAATTAATAATAAAGATAAAACTGTTATTTCACATGGGCTAAATTCGAATAAAGTTGGTGATAAAAATTGTTTTCCCAATAAAATGAAACCACGTACCATGACCAATTGACCAATAACTGAAAAAGGTACTTGAACCAAAATATATTGTAACATTCACTATAACGTATTAACAATTTTGATGATTTTGTGTAATTATAAAAACTCAAAAGTTGTTAACCGCTTCACCTTAATCTTATATTTTAATAGTTTGATTCATGAGGTTATTCTTTGGATAATATAAAATTGATCAGGTCATGATATTATGATATTTAACAGATTTATTATGTTTTTATAATAATTTGAAATAATCACCAATTTCATTTAATAATGCTACTAGTAAGAAAGGTAACGAGTTTGAAAAATATTACTTAATATAGTGATAAGTCATTTTTCTGATCACCCTTCGCTTTTTCCTTGTTGGTCTTTATAAGATAATTATTCGTCTAATAATTCAATAGCCATTAGTTATATCATGTCCCCATCCATCTGACGTACGTGGCTTTTTTGATCAACTTTTTCTCCACTAAATCACGAAACTTTATTACTCCGGTAAATATTGGAAAAATTTTATCATGAAAAATCGATATGGTCATTGGTCTGCAACAAAATATTATAACAGCCCATGAGGCTGTGATCAGAAAAGACTGGACTTCATTTATTAGCATTAAATATAGTACATTCCCCTGTATCAGCTAATATATATAGAAGTGTGTTAGCTTTTTCTTCTATAATTTATAAATTTTTTGGCTCTCATTTCTTCTTCTATAATTTATACAAGTTTGTAATTTGGGAACGTCAATAACTTTTATAGATGAAAAGCCAGCGTTCAAACAAACTTTTGTTTGGGTCTCATTTCTTCTTCTCCTTTCTTCTTCTATAATTTATAAAATTATGTTAAAGCATTGGATTCCCAATAACTTCGATAAAATTACAATGGCCGAGGAGAAGAAGAACCTGCAACTCACATTCCCTGAGGTAGTTTGGGACCCTGATCCATGTAAGTTGATTTCCAATCTTCTTTCAATTCAGTATAACATCATCACATATATGAATATGAATGTATTGATTGATTGTTAGTTTGGTAAGTAATTGAAATGTGGTACAAAGTGATGTCGATGAATGATACAATGCAGTTTTGAAGATGGCCTTGCAAGAACTCGTGGGGATGAAAGGAGAAGATGCAGCAAAGAAGATAGAGGAAGAGAAGTCGGGTGCTACTGTCCACGTAGTTCATGAAGATAGTGCTGTTACAGTTGGTTACAGGTTGGATCAAGTCAAGTTAATCCTTGACTCGTCCGAAACTGTTGTCGCGATAAATCTTATAATCGCTAAACTATAGTTGGTTATATATTTTGCACATGACAAATGCTATATATATGTATCATTTGTTCATGATGCTTATTTAAATAAATGGTTGACTACTCTACTTTTATGTATTTGCCTTGCGACTAATTGTCTTATTTTTCAATTTATTCGTTCCAATTTTGTGTTTTTTCTCATTTCAGTTTAGTTAAACTTCAACATTTCACTACATTATAAACACCATCAAGTATATCTATAAACTATATAAACTATTTGATAACGTTTTACATATAACTTCAATTTCGGATTTTTACATTTTTTTTTTGCCTTTATTCTTCTGCCTATAGAGTTTCCAGGTCTAGAGATATATTTTATTTATTTTATATCACTTTATAAAAGTTGTATAATATTATAAAATTTAAATCTTTGGTTTTGAAGAAAAAGATTTGCCCTAGAAATGCATAATCGATCATGAGTTACGTACAAAAAACATTTACTCCGTATAATATATTATACTATATTTTGTAATATATTATATTATATCATAACAAATAAAAAATCTTGTTTGGGTAGAATCCTGGACAACATTAAATAGGTCTCTTTTAAGCTCCTTATATATACTCATTGATGTACTAGCCATTCTGTCCCATATTGTAGGGAAGAATAAAATATAAGGAAACCTCCTTAGTATCTGAATAGAATTCGATACTCGTGGCCGTAGGCTTGTACAAAAAAACCGGTTCAGTATCCGAACCGGTCACTAAACTTCACTACGAATCGGTCCACCGGAAACCGAACCGATTCAAGAACCGAACCGCCGGTTTGCACCCGTTCGAGATTTTAGACATTGAAACCGGTTTAGAACCGGTAGTCAAACCGATCGAACCGGTTTAGAACCGATTGAACCGATTTAGATAGGTTCAAGTTTTTCTAAGACAGAACCGGTTTGAACCGAACCGGTTTATGCCTGAACCGGTTTTACTATTTACAAATCGGAACCGAACCGGTTCGGTTTGAAAAAAAACGGTTTGTTCACCCCTACTCATGGGTTAAGACCAGGGGCACGAACTATTTTATTAAATTGTAGATGGGGCTTGGGCCTTGGGGTCACAATATTTATTTTCAAAAAAGACTGGATTGAATTTAGTTAGCCCACTTCGTTTTATTTATTTATTTTTTTTTATTTTATTTTATTTTGACATTGGGTTACCTCCCCCTTAAGCTTCTCTTTAGATCCCCCTCTTTATAGCAAAGATGCTATAAGTACTATCCTTACCACATTATTCTAGTGTAAAACATAAAATACAAAGTTATTTTGTCAATTAAGTTAAAGAGCGTAAAGGTTTATAGATATTAATCATTGATGATTATTTTATGAGAAATTAAATATCATCTACTCATTTTTTTTATATAGCATCTTATTACTTTTAGACTTATTATTTTTAGAAGATGACAAGCATAATAAAAATTGATTAATTTTATTAATGTCATAATTTTAATTGTGTAGGAAACAAAAATAGGAAATTCCCGATTGATCTATTCACCCAATATATTTTTTGGCCTTTGCTTTCTTGAGGTATATTATAGTCTTTGGCCCAGGTTTGAAGGCTTATTACAAAGTTGGTCCATCAAACAGTCTCATAATTTTAAAGTTAAATTATTGTTATTTTAAAAGTTATGATTTTAATATCTTACTTTATTTTAAAGTTAGTTTTTTTTGTCTCTTACATAATTTTTACATAATTTTATTGTTTTTGTTTTTATTAATTTTCTTAACATATAATTTCAAGAATTATTTGCGTTTGCCTCCTTCGTATATAATATTGAAACTTTACTTTGATACTTTTATGATCCACTTAATATAATATAATCGTCACCCTGCTATATATAGATTGTTTTTTTTAACCGGAAAATATAAATGTATAATATATTCATAAACTTACATCTAATTTCACTTATATCCACGACGGGACTTGAACGCTCGACCTCAAAAAAGAGAGGCACCATGTTGACATTTGGAAATCACATTTTGTATACAAATTACAAAAGTGTTATCCCGCATATTTTAGTTTCATTTTTGGTCATTTACATACATGGACGGTCCAAGACAATACGTGGTCCGGGGCAAAGAAAAAAATGGGGCCCTTCGCATGTACCCCTTAGTGTGACATTATCTTGTTCATTTTCTTGAAAATTAGAAGAAATTGTTTTTTTACAATCTTATTCATCATAATTTTTGAGTTTCAATAAATTTTGATTTTTTTCGTTTTATACTTCCAGACATTTATTTTCTAAGAAACAATTTTAACATATACAAGTAGCAGAGGTCACAGATTAAAAAAGTGAAATGTGAGTATCTATACCTAGTGGAAGTTGTTGTGTAAGAGAATGAAATACTACATAAATCAAAATAGAAAATACACATTAAAATCTAAAAATCATAATGAGACAATGTAAGAAATCCAAATATGACAATTGCTGTATAAGAAACTTGAAATTCATAATGTAACTGTTTAAGAATAAGAAATCCTAACGCAGCAGAAATCAAAAAAATCGAAGCCACCACAACATATGCAAACAAAATCAAATTTAACAACCGAAGATTACAACAGAAAGCAGAATAATTGAAGTCACAACATCAGACTAGAAAACATCGAGTTTAACAACCAAAGAATGCAACAGAACTTAGACTATTATAATCTGAGTCACAACATCATATTACGAAAAAATCAAATTTAACATCGAAACCTATATCACAGTATATGAAAAAAAATCATAATTTGCATCTTATTAAAAAAAATGGAAGTTAACAGCCTAAAATATTGATATTTGTATTACAGGGTAAGAATGAAAATCGAATTTTGCATCAGATTAGATAAATCGAATTTAACATAGAAGAAGCTTTGAACTTACATTGATTCAAAAACTAATTATGTGATTTGCATCTTTAAATTCTCTAATTCTCAAGCTGATTTGGTCGTTCATAAAGAAATCGAAATTAATAGGGTATTTCAGCATCAAAAATAAGAATTTATAGTCTGAGATATGAATCGTTGGATTAGATTTCAAAGGGAAAATCGATCAGGTCTCGACTCTCGTTCAGTACAAGGGTCAATACGACAAGATCTCGACAACTCTCAATCAAGGTTTCCTCACTTTGACTTTTGATGAACATATCATTAGAATCCAATGGTGCAATACTTGATTTAAATCCTTAATTTGGCTATAGTAATCCAAGAAGCTTGAGATTACCTAGACTTTTCTTTGTTGTTAAAATGGTTAGAGAAGCTCATAACAATTTCCTTAGTCAAAGTCACAATTTCCACTAAGCATGTAATTAGTGAAAGTTAACTACCATTAAGAACTAAAAAGTCACCAAATCCAAGAGGAGTTAAATGCTTTCACTACCATGTTGGAGGAAATGTTTTTATGATTGTGTGAAGCAAAACTAACACAAAAATCATTTGTTGCTTGCTAATTTGAGGATCCTTTACTTAATCAAGAAATTAGCCAACTAATCACCACAAACACATTTAAACTCATGAATAAAAACATATTAAGTAGTGATAAGATGTTAAAACACAAAACATTCCCATAAAGATTTAAGAACAAGTTCATGGATTCTTCAACATTCAACAAAAGTTCAAAGGATTCAACAAAAGTCAGCCAAGTTTAGTTTAGCCAAGCATGGCTAAACCCAAAGAAACAAAGTTAAAAAAGATTTTACCAAACATTCTACAAGATTCAAGAGCAAAATGATGAAGTTCTTGAGGGTTCTTGGCCTTCCAAAAGCTCCAAAATCTCCAGAGAAATGATGAATTTTCGGATGTGCAAGAGTCTCCAAAAGATGGGCACCATCCTTCCTCAAATAGCCTTCCAATTGGATTTCCGAAATTACCCATGCAGGGCCTTGCGCGACCCGTGTGCTGTTGCGCGGGTGGTTCCTGAATGTGGCCTCTTTGAGGTTTGGGCCTCCATAGCTTAGCCCACTTGGCCCAGTTCGAGTCCAATAAGCTCCTAGCCCATTTTTCTTCAAGTTTTCTTCAATTTAAGCCCACTTTGGCTTCTCCAAATGATCCATAGCTCGTAAACTCGCCCGATTAATAATCTACGCACGCTTGAATATACTCCCGCATCTTGCAAATTTAAAGTTTATTTCTCTCCAAGCCTTCAAATAATCATCAAGCTCGCTCCATGCATCATCTCCACTACCCATCAAGCCCAAAATTCTTGTTGTCCTCCAAGTCCAATCGCCTCCCAAAGATTCTGCACCGCTAGTCTCCTTAAAATCTGCAATTATGCTCACGAAACTAGAAAATACCCAAAATGATCATAAATTAACAAAAAGGAAAATATGCATGGAAATTAACTAAAATGCGAATGAAGTGCACTAAAATAAACTATAAAAAGAAGTAAATAAAACGAAACTATCAAGCGACAACACGACATGGTGGGGATTACCACGACGTGTTGGTCTTGAAATTGCAATAATCGATGCCAGAATAAGCTGATTTCTAGAATATATGTGGCACCAACAAATGTACGAAGCTATTAGGCCTGACTCCTCACTTATTGACGCAAACAAACACCCGACAAATTGCTCAAATCTCACTTCTCTCGTCGTTTTCTAATCTTTCTCTATAAAGAACCTTCTTTTGTGAATAATACCCTCACTTGGACTCTAAATATAATACCTGGAAAGCTTCTTCTTGTGAATGCAAATGTGCCGGATCGAATGAAATTAAAGAGCCATTCTTGAAAAAAAATGTGTTGAACCACTGCCACGACGTGTTGATGATGTCCACGTCGTTTTGTCTTCTTTTTCAGTAAATATACTTCAAAATGCTTTTCTCTTCATTATGTGGGAACCCCACACTTATTCAAAAACTTTTTCTTCAATTATGATCTTCAAAAATCGCACGGCTTCTTCAAATTAAGCTCCTTCACTGCTTCACTTTCGTTCAACACTACAAAATAAGATCAAGAACTAGAGAAACGAATCATCATTCGGTTAAGGTGAAATAAGAGTAACACGAAAATTAAAACTAAAACTAAATCAATTAAGAAAAGAAAATGCAAACTCTAAAAAACATCGGGTTGCCTCCCGATAAGCGCTTCTTTTTGTGCG